TTGTCAACTGTTGCCTTTTTAAAGATAGTGGCTCTACCCCCCCAATATCCCCCCGCCCAGAGGGCCGGGTGGGGGAATTCTGGGAGTTGAAGTCCACTCATCTTAAAATGGCCAAGTTTGGACAACACTGCCTTAGGGATTCCATATCAATCTAGATGGAAATTGTTGTATCTTCAAGACTAAGACAAACAGTGCAAGTCCAGAAGCAGAGTTATGCCATCAGTTACTTTCAAGCCATTTCCCCTTATATTCAGAGAAATCCACAGGATTCAGCACTGTTATCAAAATAATGAAAGCAGTGTCATGCCAACATGACACTAGCTCTGCCCCTTTCATATATATGTGCAATGTCACAATGCACATGCAAAAGGGGCAGAGCTTGCATCACACAGGTGCGATTTTGCTTTTATCATTTGATTCCCCCATGGACACTTCCACTTACATTATTTCCTTTCTTATATTTTTATTTTTCTCTTCCATATAGCTCTATCTTGTTCCTTGTGGGGGATTCATAGCCATAGCACTTAGAGCTAAAAAGATCATACACTGTCACATATCACAGCAAATTAGGGGCACGTGGGAAATTTTCTGGTACAGACACAGACAAATTGGGATTCATGTTTTCAAGAAAAGGCCAGATGCCTTTTGGCAGTGGACTCAGAATTGACATGCCTACTCCTACAGAACAAATAAAGCATCAGTAATAAGTCTTTTAGAGGACTTTGAACTGCCCCAGTTACCTTTGTGCATTCTCTGATATAACACCGTTGACAGAATGTTCTAGTCTAATATTAACTCAAGTAAAACTGCAACTCTCAGAACTAATTCAATATATAAGATTTTATTGGTTTTCCGCAGGTGACAGAGTACCTAAACTAGACTTGAACAGGGTCCTTGTCTAGAGTCTAAGTCTCAATTTAGAAACAAACAAACCTTTCCATGGGAGTTATTGAGTGACTATTTTGGAAACCAAAGTTAACAAATGCCACACATACAAAGTACTCAGGTTAGTAATGCAAATATCCATAAAATACATCCACACAGGCAGCATATTGAAAAGAAGGGCTACCTCTAATCTATGGGTGTGTCAGAGACTTCTAGTCTATAGCATAGTTTTGATTTTATATTTTATTTTGGGGTAAAAACTTTGTTTACCTGAAAACTCCTACCATCATGCTTGCTTTATTCATAGTCTAAGTCCATTTAAATGATTCTACCCCTATGCTTTCTCCTGTAGCGCGTTCACCATGCCATGCATGCAATTTACGTCCCATGTGGTTTATGGTTTAAGCTTACAAAGATTTCACTAGCATGGGAACAAACAGAGATGGCTGGATCCCAGAATATTCTGGGAGTATTTTATACATCAGTATGAAACTAACACAACTTTGAGATTAGGAAACGGTGTTCTTTCAACCTCTTTATAAAGACTGTCATTTGATGAACCTTTACACAAGGATTTTGTTCTAGTTTGGAACCAGCTGCAGAACTATTTTACAATTAACAGTTTTGAAAGCAAAACATTGGATTTTTTTTCCTACCAATGCTGCTGTTGATTAGAAACTGAAGCAAAGCTGCTATGCTCTTTGCAATACCATGACTCTGTAGAGCTTGTGGACAGTCCTACTGGCCTTACCGTTATTCCTGGGACCCAAGCATCGCCATGTTTCATGTTTCTCGTGTCTCTCCACTGGCATTGTTTAGAATGCATCTTCCTCTCTCCCCCGTGCTAGCTACCATGGCAACAGACAACTATGATTCCCCAACTACTGGGAAAGTCCTAGTTGCAAACATTCTGATATGTTATCTCCCCATCACATCACAGGAGGAATGGCAACATTGCAGTCAGGAATCTTGGTAGCAACTGCTTAGATTTTAATTTTTGGAAAACAATAAGGCAAATGTATACAACATGTACTGAAAACATGAATGGAAGAAACCTGTTGGCAATGTCTTTTACTTCCTGTAGGGCGGAGTCAGGGGATTCTTCCAGGTCTGCCAATTACTCAGGAAAATGACTGACATCTGTGTATTGTTCTATTGGTCAGCTGGAGAAAACACTGACTCATTGTGTTCTCTACAGTCTCAACATTTTTAGGGCCACAGAAGTCATCAGGTTAGCTTCAAAGTGCTTTGTGAGAAACTAGGGAATGGAAACTTTGTAGTTTGCAAATGCTCCTAGAAGGTAATGACTAACAAATTATTTGCAGTATTATATACCTCACAGGCAACCATCAAACTAAAGGTTAAACTAATGGGTTGACAAAAACTTTCAACTGAGACCCCTGAGTAACAATAACATAATGCAAGTTAATAATATGAAATCCTTTTCAGGTGAGAAGGGAGATCAACAGATGAGTCAGGTGCTCAGAATGATCTTGAAAGTGACCATAACAGACTTAAAAAATTATGTATCTGTTAGATTTATATCCTGCCTTTTGTAGAAGAGCTTCAAGGTAGTATAGCATTCCCTCATGTTTTTCCACAGAAAAATCCTGTGAAGTAGCTTGGGCTGAAAAAGAGCAACTGAACCAGTCACCTGGTGAGCTTCTACCTGAAGCTGGATCTCCCCAGTCTTAGTCTAACACTTAACCACTACACCATGCTAGCTGTGTATGTAGTAACCATGCAGGAAAAAAAATCATCATTAGATGTATTTACACATACAAACCCGCTAGACATATACAGTATATAGAGGAATCATACTTGACTAAATTTCAGATTCTTTCCCATATTTAATCTGTAACCTGCAGGTAAATACACTGGGTGGAGCAGTAATATTAGCATATAACTTTATCTTGTAAATTACATCTTTAAAGCCTGCAAACCTATGCAACACTATTTAGAAGTCATATCTGCTGAAAACAGACAAGCTTCCAAGTACAGACATTATAGGGCTGTAGCTGTGTTAAAACTCACATTTTCTAGTTTTTTTTCCAGAAAATCTCCCCTAACCTGACAGTTAGCATGCTGTGTTACAGAACTTTCCAGCTATCTTTAACCATAATGCCACTGGGACAAAGTAGGAGTGCCATTCATATACGTGCAGGAGAACAGAAATGAGTTCGAGTAACTCGAACTTGTAAGGCTGGTTGCTAACTATTTTGCAAAGCAACCCCAGAGCACGGCTTATTTTGCCAGTCGTTTCCACTCAATACTTAAAATTAGCCCTTCGGAGTGTAAGTGTAACCCGCCGACAAACTCATGCCTGTGCTTCCAACGAGAACACACGGCTCTCGAAAGTCTGACAATCAGGGACACTCTGGCACCGACACGCTGCCGAGGACGGAGGGGAACGCCACACTCACCAATGTCAGAGTTACAGAACGCATCCTGGGGATGAACTGGGACGCAGGTACAAGCTTCGACCAGCAACTCAGTCAGGCTCCAGCTGCAGAGCAGCAAGAAAACGCTCAGCACCCACCCTGACATGCCGTCTCGCGAATGCTGATAGTACTACTCCCCTACTCGTTGGTCTCCACCCACGTGGAGAATTTTTAAGAAGTAGAGAAGGATGCTTTTTGAAAGAAAGAAAAGTTGTAGTTTCGGTTCTCCTTCCACTTTTCGGCGAGGCGAGCTGAACGTGGCAGGACTTTTTGCGCAGTTCGTTGCTATTAAAGTGCAGGCTCGAGTCTCCCCTCTGCGAGTTTGATGCCCCCAGCAACTCTCGTGCGCGCCTCTGCGCTCTCGGCGGTCGCAGGGAGTTATAGCCCTGAGCGCGCCCACATGGCTTTTGGGGTGCCGCCTCCCGGACCAATCGGAGCCCCGCACTACCTCATTTTTCACGAAAAGGGGAGAGGCTACCCAAAAAAAAAAATTCCTGGTTGGAGGCGGGGTCCTACCAAGGGATTCAGTTCCATATAGGGAATAATCTGTATTCTCTGTATTCTCTGTATGTGGCAGTTGGGGCTACAAGCAGGATTTCTGTTGACAGTTACAAAAGAGGAACAGGAAGGACAAGTAGAGACTAGAGGCACGGATGTAGCAGGGATGATGAGGAATGTTAGAGGGAGCTTTGATAAATACACGCAGGAGAAGGAAACCAGTAACTGCTGGTCCTAATGGCTATATTTTATCTATTCAAACATTAATATTTCTCAACTTCACAGCAGTTTACAGTTTAAAATACTGCCATGCGGATATTTGCTCTTGAAAGCTGCAACACCAAGTGAAAAAAAGAAGGGGGTGGGAAAAGGAAAAACAAGAATACTCACAACAGAGATCTTAGAACAGTCAAGTGCCATTCAGCTGCAGAGCTGAAATGGCTGAAAGGCATCTTAGAAGTTGTTGATAGTGTTTTATTGTCTATCCTGAATGGAAACAGCTCAAAGAGAATTAGATTGGAAAATAGTTGGTTTCTCAGCTGAGCTAATGGATGGCTCTTTATTATGAGGGTTGAATGAGAATTAATGCCTGCCCCTCCATCTCTTTAGTTTAAATAAGGGTATTTTAATAAATGAAACAGGAAAATAATCCTTGAAATAAGCTCTTTTGTTAGCTGTATTTCCTTCTTCGCATAATCACCACCATTCATTACATACTTCTGCCAATGATGGACAAGCTTCTTAAAGACATCATGAAAGAACTCCATATTTTGTCTCTTCAACCAGGTTCTGACAATTTCAGTCAGACAGATGCCCACAAAGGTATTCCTTCAATTTTGGGAAAAGCTGGAAGTCACATAACGCCAAATCTGTATGGCAGAGGGGGGTAAGATGGTGAGATTCAACTTCGTAATTTCTTTTCGGCTGGTCCATAGGGTGTGAAGCCTAACATTGTCATGTTGAAGAAAAAAATTGTTTTTGTGCTCCTGAACCCCTTTTAAGCACTGTTTCAAAGTTTTGAGAGTTGCAGTGTAGCACTCTGAGTTGATAGTGGTGTCATGTTCCGGGAAATCCATGCCAATAAAACTACCTGCATCCCCACAAAAAAAAGTAACCATAAGTTGTCTTGTCGAAGCCTAGGTTTTGATTTTTTTTTTTTCCAGTTGGTAAAGCTTTCACGGACTGACACTTCATTTCTGGGTCATAATGATGAGCCTATGTTTCATTGTCTGTCACCTTGCTGCGAAAAAATTCCTCACCTTCATTCTTATGGCATGACACAATTGTTCAGTAAATTTCAATTCTTGAAGCTTTCATCTCTGCCATCAGCATGCAAGGAACCAATTGCACAACACTTCTGACATTGAAAAATATCAGTAATATGACCCACGTGTTCCTCTGACATGCCAAGCTTGACAGCAATTTACCTTTGACTAATCTGTTTATCAATTTTTCTCATGTGAAACTCATTGGATGCAGTCAGATTGTCACAGGTTGATCACACAAATCAGCCCTTCCCAGTTCACCATTTTTACACTTTTTGGCCCAGCAACACACAGTACTCACGTCAACAGTCATAAACAACCTGCAATCAGTGGTCAGTTTCAATTGGAGAGACTCTTTTAGCAATCAAAAATCAATCTTGATATATTGCTTAAAGCTCACTGATGAGTACTCACTGCAGTCTTCCATTTCACAAACAACAGCAACACAAACTTTTCTCACAGCAATTTCCTGCTAATTGAAGTGACCGCACAGATACGATAGAACTCATTGACATTTCTAGCTTCTAAGTACTGCCATGAGTTGGTGACTTATAAAATTGGAAGCATTACTTTTCATTCAACTCTTGTGTGTATCTATGCATGTGTGTGTATACACACACACATATATAGTTATAGAATTCTTATGTAATGTGTACTATATAGGAAGACTGAATTCTCTGTTATTTCCACTATTGGAAACAATTTGGCTCTGGTACCATTTGCTATTGCCCTCATGTGATCCAATCTGTCTGACTGATAGCGGTTCTTCTGTTCTTACCATTGAAATGAGTGGCCTGGGAGTGCAAAGGTGTTTTTTGAAAGCAGAATGATCTCCCCAAGGATTGAAACAATAAATGTAAGACTGGAATGACAATTTCAGGAACCAAAAAAACAAATCAGTGAAAATAGAGAGAAGCTCCTGTAACTGGAATTATTAGGAATAAAATTGCAGTCATTACAGATTCAAGCCCATAATTTTACTCCCAGGGGCCATTGTATTTCAAGAGCCATATTTCAGTATCAGGCTTTTATCATAGGCTTGGGTTCTTTTCCCCCACATTCAGTAGGAGGAGCTGCCAGTCCAATCCAGAAAGCTTGAAGAGTCCTCATTCCAGTCTCAGACCACTTATTTCAAATCCTAATCTATCATTTCAGTCCTAAGAGCCATCATTCCACTCCAATTCCTGACTATTTTACTTTCTCCCACAGAATGACATTCCAGTTTTGTGTAGGGGCAGGAGGAATCACTTTTGATCTATCGTTTTAGTCCCGGAGCTTTCATTTCACTCCAACAAGAGCTGTCGTTCACAAAGCTTTCATTCCAGTCCCAGTATTCATGATTTCAATACTGAGGCCCCCAGCAAATGTTATTCCAGTCTCAAGGGATAACATTCCAGTTCCTGAGGCTACTGATCCAATCCCGGGTACTATTATTCCCAATCCTGAGACCATCACTGCAGTCTCAAGGACTGTTATTCTAGACTCAAGGACCATCATTCCAGTTTCCCAAGGTCTGCCATTATCATTTCCACCATTTATCCCTAATACTATGCCTAACATGGTTTAATTACTTAAGAGAGAAATAAATTACTTTTTAAAATATAAAATATGCTGCTTTACCAAGGTAGCATAAAGAATAGGGTATAATGATATTATTCTCTATTACCAGGACATTTGATGAAAAGTGTAACTATTGGCTATGTATTTTAATTGGATATTTAACTTTTATAGATTTACATGTGTGACTCTGTGTGTGTGTTGTTCATGTCAGCTGCCTTGAGTACCCTGAGGATGAAAAGGTGAGGTGTCTTTTGAAATAATAAATGTATTTTAAAAAATAATAATAATAAAGCAGGAAAACCAATATAAACCAACTCATTTCCTTCCTAACTGAGATCCATTTCCTTTCAGAATCTACATATTTATAATTCCTATTGTTTCTTAAAGCTCTTCAGATAGTGGACATTCTTGCCATTTATTTTAATACATCTCTTTTGTTCTTGCCTTGATGTAAAACTATTTTATTAATTCTGAGGTGTCCTGTTTAAAATTTTCAAAAAGAAAGTCTTCATGCAATATTGGTGCTTCAGACCACACGGCTTTCACATAATAAAAACAAACACCATCTGGCATTATTATGTGAATAACATCAAACCTGAATTTAACAGATCTGAGTAGAAGCTAATTTTGTTTATTGTGTAGTCACCTCATTATACTACATAACTTCTGGACAGTAGATATAGCCATATTCATCGGTATTTTTTTACTATACACCCAACAGCTAAGATAGTAATGCAAGTCTGAGAGGTATGATTGCTTAAAGGTGGTCAAACTTAGTAGCTATTTCAGCCCAATGACATGGTGTGATAATAACCAGGAGATTTTCTATTTACTGTATTCATTATCCCATTACAAAACAGCTGCCTGGGGAGACTCGATTATTGATACAGTAACTGCCATAGACTCAAAACATCCATTTATTGGTGGGCAAATTGATGAAGTTGCTTCCCACCTCTCCATCTAGTTCCCCAAGTTCCTCTCTACTTCCCAAAGTTTCTTTTGTTGCTTTCTGTGTGCAAATAGGCATATATTCACACAGCAATGTCTGGGGTGGGGAAGTTATATTTATTGACTGAGTCTGATGAAAGCAGCATCCCACTGTAAAAACACAAGCCTCACCTCTTTTGTACACGTATCATGTCTTTGCACACACATCCAAAAGGGATAGAGCTTGTGGCTCAACTGCACAGTAATTTTGTTGAAAGAGGCAGAAGCCTATGGATGCCCATGCATCTAGACAAAACCAGAATAGCAGCCACCGAATATTTATTTCAGATCTGTAAGAGCTGATGGGCTGGTGAAGATTTGGGGATTTAATTGTCCATCTACATCCTTTCTCCAGCCCTCATACTATATTGTATCTTGTGTTTTGAAAGATGGGTTTGTAAGAGCTGATGGGCTGGTGAAGATTTGGGGATTTAATTGTCCATCTACATCCTTTCTCCAGCCCTCATACTATATTGTATCTTGTGTTTTGAAAGATGGGTTTTGAATAAAGTGTTTATCTGAATAATTGAAAGTCAGTTGAACCGATCCTGGACATAATAATGCAGCTGTTGTTATGCTCTGTTTTTAGAAGAAAATGTCATGAAGACTTGATATACATATTTTGATGGTGTTATAGCCATTTAATTATAAGTTTTCCTAAAGAAATGTAATATTTGTAATATAGTGGAGATGGAGAGAACTTTATTTGATATTATTTCTACAATCCCATTGTAATACTGCAACTCAAAGAGTTCCTTGAGAATAAAGTTCAACAATAGAATCAATATACATTTGTGCTCATATATTCACTTGTAATAGTTATAAACAAGTTCTTAGTCTGAGTTAGTGAAAAGGAATTTCCATTTCAAGTGTTTATTTTTAAGAAAAAAATAGAAAATATTAATGTTATATTTATTTCATCAATAAGCAATCTGCTAGTAGAAAATTGGGTGGCATGTTTCCCTGGCATTGAAAAAAAATCTTTATATGATTTATATGATTTTGAGTTAGGTAATCATTCATACATCAAATATCCTGTCTCGAGTTTCTTGGTCAC